TATGGTCCCAAGCCCGCAGGATCAACTACTCGGTCCCTCTGGGTAGCTGGCTGTGACCAAGTAATGACCATAACCTTGCCCCTTGTCAGCTCTACTATACACCTGGGAATTCTGATCATTCACATGAACTTATAGCCCTGGCCTTGTTTTGATAGACGATACTGAATTTCTCCATTGTCTTTTTCGGCAGATGTAGTCAATCTACTTCTTGTGTATTCTACCTGATGAGGTCCATGTGTATAGCCATCATTTATGCTGTTGAAAAAGGTATGTGCAATGAGTACGTCATTGATCTTGCAAAATTCTGATCTCCAGAGGCATTTCTATCACCAAGGGAATACTAACCAAATACTTATGATTCTTCTTTGTTTCCAACTTTCACAGTCCAATCACCAGTGAATATCACCAGCAATAATCAATACACCTTGACTGCATGTTTGCGCAATATCAGATTGCAGAAGTTGGTAAAATCTTTATTTCTTTATTTTTTGTTTTGGTGGTTGGTGTGTAAATCTGAACAACAGTCACATTAACTGGTCTTCCTTGTAGGCGTGTAGATATCATCCTATCACTGACAGCATTTCTTCAGGATAGATCTTGAAATGTTCTTTTTTGACAATGACTGCAACACCATTTCTCTTCAATTTGTTATTTCAGGCACAGCAGACCACATGAGTTATGATTCAAAATGGACACCACCAGTACATTTCAGCTCATTAATGCCTAAGATCTTTATACATTCAACTTTATTTCATTTCTGACAACTTACAATTTCCCTAGATTCATTCTTTGGACATTCGCCGTTCTAATTATTAATGAATTTTTACAGCTGTTTTTTTCCACTCTGTGTCCTGCCCCATCAGCAAATAAAGGTCCTAAAAGTTTTACTCCATCCACATCAGTAAGGTCAACTCTACCTGGAGGAGGCAGCTCTTCCCTAGTCCTATTCTGATTATCTTCCAACCTGAGGGTCTCATCATCCGGCACTCCATCAGCCAACATTTCACCAGTCTTCTTAAACTTTCCTAGCAATATATCAGTGTTTCACTGCTATTCATAAGGTTTTCAGTGGTCAATCCTTTCAGAATTGGAAGGCCCCATCCTTCTTTGTAGCCTTCCTTAGTCTGGAAGCTCCACTGAAACCTGTCCACCATGAGTGACCTTGATGGTAATCAAAATACCAATGGCATAGCCTTCAGCTTCACAGCAACACGCAAGCCACTATATTACGACAAAGTGACAGAGCAGTGGTGGAAGAATAATGAAAGTAACTAACCTACTAGCTATGCACTAAATATTACAACCTCATTAATATCCACTAGCAAAAGAAACTAAAACAGAAAGAATATAATGCTCAGATACCATCTAGACACAGTAATCTAAAACTCTGGCGGGTTTTAAGTTACTGACAGAAAAGTCTTTAAAACAATGATGATGATGTAGTGTTCTATTACTAGTTTTGCAAACTGACAAAGCTGTTATTCACCCTACAAGACACATAAATCAAAGGGAAAAAAAAGGATAAAAATCTTACAAAATGAAAAAAAGGAACTATTTTGAAATCCTTATTTAAATTGTTCTACTATATGCTGTGCTTCGAGTACTGGAAATAAGCTGAGCTCACAAAAATAGTATTCACATGGAGTACACAGACTGAAATTTGTATTTACTTGGCATCAGGATTCTTTACCTACATTTTATAATTACCTTTTTTTGTCCACAGGAGGCAAAGAAATACTGCTGCTTTTCCACTTAATCTTGACATTCTCCTGAAAAACAGTCCTATTCAAGGCAATGAAGTAGCGTTCCAATATCACTAGCCTCTGCTTGAGTCTTAGGGCTGAGAGGGTGGTGGTAGCTGATTGGAAGGCCAAAGCTTGCTGCTCTTTGACTAGCACAGTAAGACATTCCTTAAGTTCACTCACATCTAGGAGACAATAAAACATCAACTCATTAATAGCTTGGACATGATTCACTGTAATGCTGGTAAAATTACAGGTAATACTCAAATGATTAACATGTAACAAAAATGGCTTTACATTCTGTACACTATCAGTCCCATAATCCTCTCAACCACTATCACTATGTAGTACCGTGCATCCATTTTATGGATAAGGAAACTAAGGCAACAGAACTGCTTAAGTCCCACAGAGCTATGTGGCACACACGCAGACTACTTCTAGCCACAAGGTTATACTGCTTCTCTGTAAATATCACAGAAAACTTTTGAACACAAAATCATAAAAGCAACACTTATCAATAGTCCATTTCCTAGACAGACAGACAAATTCTATGTATCGCTTTCATGTTATGCAACAAAATTCAAAATAAAAATTTTTCAATAGGAGGCGGGGCAAGATGGCGGACTAGGCAGAAGGATTGCACAGACCCTCTTCAACAAAGAAAAGGGAAACCAATTAACACAGACACAGAAGATA